TCAAAACAATGAGTTATCTTCCATTCAAAAGTTTCATTATCTGTTGAGTATTTTAGAACAGGAACCTCTAAATTTAATAAAACATTTAAGCATTACTAGTGACAACTATGAGGTTGCATGTACTATTTTACATGAACGTTATGAAAACAAGCGCTTGATAGCCGATAAACATTTGGAATTATTACTTTCAGTTTCATGTCCTAATTTAAAAAATCTGAAACGTTTTATTAACACATTGAAAGAGAATACACAAGCTTTAAATTCACTTGGGTTTAATGTGATATCTTGGGGTTTTCTATTATATCACATAACAATCAGAAAAATACCTTTAGACTTAAGAACTAAATTTGAATTTACCTTGCAGCAAAATCAAATTCCTGATTTTAATAACTTATTAACATTTTTAGAAAATCACTTGAGAGTTTTGGAAGTTACTAATTTTGCATATTCAAATAATAATGAAAAATCATTAGTTAATCGTTCATCTACTTTGCATGTATCTAGTATCACTTGTCATTGCTGTGGTGGTAACCATGGTGTATACCATTGTTCAGAGTTTGAAAAACTTGGAGATAAGAAATCATTTATTCAACAAAGAAAGCTTTGTTTCAACTGTTTAAGGCCTCATTTTGTATCAAAGTGTATATCTAAAAGCACTTGTCAAATATGTAATGGACGTCATCATACCAAATTACATAATGATTTTAGTAAATCAGCAGGTTCAAATGTGAATCTCGAATCTTCGAGACAGGTCTTGCTCAACGTGGAACCATCGTCTACTGGCTTATTGGGTACTGCTCTCGTTGGAGTTCAAGACATTGATGGTCATGTGCATATTGTTCGCGCGTTGATAGATCCTGGTGCTCAATCATCTCTTATGACTGAATCTTTAGCACAGCAGCTTCGACTTCGTCGTCGTAAGTCCTGCGATTTGTTTGGTGTTGGTCAACATCGACAGTCTACCCATGGCAGGGTAGATTGTAACATTGTGTCTCTCACAACAGATTCCATTCCTGGTTTGTCCACTGAAGCCATCATACTTAAGCGTATCACTGGATATCAACCTGCAGCAATGGTCAATCCAATTGTGCCAGAGAAATGTAGCGACCTTCAGCTTGCTGACAAGACTTTCAACATTCCAGGTAGAATTGACCTACTTTTGGGTGTTAATCTTTTCAGTGACATTTTTTGTGGTCCGAAGTTAGATTTAGGTAATGGTTTACCAACAGCTCACTCAACTATTTTCGGTTGGGTCATTATGGGTTCAACCCCTGTGACCACAACACAATATCAAAATATAAGCTTACTCACTGATGAGTCTAGGCTTGAAAATACTTTAATTAAGTTTTGGGAATCTGAAGACGTTCCTTTGATGCCCGTTCCAGATCCTGTAGATATCGTTTGTGAAAAGCACTTTGTCAACACACATAGTAGAGACACTGATGGGAGGTTCATTGTCCGTCTACCCTTTAAGGTAGACTCTTCTCAGCTCGGTGATACACGTCTTGTTGCTCTGAAACGTTTTCACAATTTAGAACGACGGCTTATAAGGGAGCCTAGACTTCGTGAACTCTACATTCAGTTTATGAAGGACTATATAGAGTCTGGTCATATGAAGTTAGTGTCATCCGATGGCCACGTTGACAGGTATTACATTCCTCATCATGGCGTGCTCAAGGAGAGTAGCAGCACTACAAAACTGAGAGCAGTTTTCGACGCATCTCTACCTAGCTCTACAGGAGTTTCACTTAATCAAATTTTAATGTCGGGTCCTAAGTTACAAGAAAATATTCAAGATATTATTTTACGTTTTAGAACTTATTTAATTGTTTTCACTTGCGATATTAAGCAAATGTATCGTATGGTCAAAATACATCACGATGATCAGCGGTTTCAAACTATTTTCTGGCGTGACTCTATCGATAAGCCTTTGCAGGAGTTCGAGCTAACCACTGTTACATACGGCGTTTCTAGTTCTGCTTACCAAGCTATCAGAGTGATTCACGAGTTGGCGAACATCAACGACTCTACATATCCTGAGGCGGCACGTGTCCTGCGGGAGGATACTTTCGTAGATGACATCGTGAGTGGTAGCTCTACACTGGATGGCGCTAAAACACTTCAGCAGCAAATTACTGACGTGTTGGCTCAAGGTTGTTTCCATTTGAGGAAATGGTCTAGCAACTCTAGCGAACTACTTAAGGGCTTACCTGCTGATCATTGTGAGACGCCTTATCGATTCGAAGATTCAGGTGACGACATTTTCAAAATTTTAGGTATCGAATGGAGCCCATCTTCTGATAGCTTTCTTTATCGAGTGTCTAGTATGAGTAAAACATTAACCAAGCGGGGTATTCTTTCAAATATCGCTCGTTTATATGATCCTTGTGGTTTCATTGCTCCTGTAACGTTCTTTGCTAAATCTTTCTTACAAAATTTGTGGCTTTTGGAGATAGGTTGGGATGATACACTTCCTTTTGACGCTCAGCAGACTTGGTTTAAGTTTGTTGAAGATTTTCATTCATTAAATAAAATTCGTATCCCACGCTATGTAGCGCGTGATCAAATGTCTGAATGTCAACTTCACGGTTTTAGCGACGCGTCTGAACGCGGTTACGCCGCATGCGTATATCTTCGTTGTGGTAGCGATGACGATGTAGAGACGAACTTGTTGGTTGCCAAATCTAGAGTCGCTTCTGTCAAGCAAAGGAAGACAATTCCCAAACTCGAGCTCTGTGGAGCAGTTCTATTGGCTCGTCTTTTGGAACATGTTTGCAAGGTTTTGCAACATAAAATAAACATCACTTCAGTCACAGCATGGTGCGACTCTAGCATAGTGCTAACATGGTTGCGAACATCGCCTCACAAGCTTCAGACGTTCGAAGGGAATAGAGTTTCGCAGGTTCAAGGTATTCTTCCAAACGCTACCTGGCGATACGTTCCATCCGTTTTCAATCCAGCCGACTGCGCGAGCCGAGGCTTGCTCCCTCGCGAGTTGTTAAATCATTCACTTTGGTGGAGTCCTTCTTGGCTCAAATCTAATCCCGATTCATGGCCTTCTTCATGTCAATTTCTCGATCTTGACGATTTGCCAGGTGTCAAATCAGCTGCAGTTGCTGCACATGTGGTGCAAACTGTCGAGACTGCACATCACTCTGACTCTGCATTGCTCTTTACCCCTCCAGTTTCTTCGCTTATCGTGCGGACTGTCGAGGAGGCATCTCATATAAAAGGCGCTACATCGACTGTTGCAATTTCATCTCACGAAGTTGTTCAACATGTCATTAAAAGATATAGCTCTCTATCTAAACTATTACGTATTTTAGGTTGGTGGCTACGCTATAGTTATAACTTACGTACACCAAAAGATAAACGATCAGGTTCTTTATCATTGTCGGAACTCAAATCAGTATTGTTAATTTGCATCAAATCGGTTCAATCTTCCGCGTTTGCCGATGCAATCAAATTGTTACAACAACGTAGGCCTGTCAAGGGCAGTCTCTGTCGGCTTCATCCATTTCTCGACGAGTTTGGCTTTCTTCGTGTTGGAGGGAGGCTAGTCAATGCCGACTTACCTTACAACAGCAAGCATCCGATTTTGTTACCTCAGTCTCATCACTTAACGGATCTCCTTATCGATCATTACCATCAACTCTATGGCCACCCTGGTCCGTCCACTCTCATGGCGATCCTGTCTCACAGATACTGGATCATATCAGCTAGACGTACAGTTCGTCATAGGATTTTCAAATGTCAGCGTTGTTATAGGTTAAAGGCAAGGCCTGTTAACCCGTTCATGGGTAATTTACCTGCTAGCAGAGTTACTCAAGCAAGACCTTTCCAACGAGTTGGATTAGACTTCGCCGGCCCATTCATCGTTAAGGATTCTCACGCTCGAAAGCCGAAAACTTTTAAGGCATATTTGTGTGTTTTTATTTGTTTCACCACTAAGGCGATGCACTTAGAGGTAGTTTCTAATTTAACAACTGACGCCTTTTTGGCTTGCTTAGATCGATTCGTGTCAAGGAGAGGATTACCATCTGACATATTCTCTGATTGTGGTACCAATTTCTTAGGCGCCCGTAACTATTTAAAATATATATACGCACTTAAAACGCAATTAGATAGAGACAGCGAAAAAATTCAATCTTATCTGGCACCTCGCGAAATTTATTGGCATTTAAACGTTCCCTCAGGACCACATCTTGGTGGTATTTGGGAAAATGCAGTGAAATCATCTAAGACATTACTTAAACGAATAATCGGTGAACGTGTACTAACGTTTGAAGAACTTAGTACCGTGTTTTGCAAAATTGAATCGATACTGAACTCACGACCGATTTGTCCGCTTAGTAGCGATCCAAATGATCTTGAGGCTCTTACGCCTGGACATTTTTTGATTGGGCAACCGCTTCTCGGTTTGCCAGAACATAATCTGGAGCAAATTTCTGCTAATCGTCTTAATCGTTGGCAATTGTTGCAACAAATAACGCAACATTTTTGGAAACGCTGGCACACCGAATATTTACATACATTGCAACAGCGTGATCGTTGGCTTAAGACTGATCGTAATTTGCAAATCGGGGATTTAGTTTTGGTAGCGGAATCTCATATACCGCCGTTACAATGGCGAAAGGCTCGTGTGACAAAGCTCTACCCGGGTAATGATAGCATTGTTCGAGTCGTAGAGCTTAATACTTCTACTGGAGTCTTGTTGCGTCCTGTGGCTAAATTATGTCGCTTATTACCAGAACCTTAAATTAGCACGAAAGCAGCGATCTCTAGATTTAAGTTTAGTTTAATCATAGTTTTATTATTCTTTGTTCAACAATTAGTTTACCAAAGTAGCATACATTTAGTGTACTCATCCTTGCTCTTTATTTGAAAGAGCTGAACCGCTCTTTGGGGGGCGGTATGGTAGATTTTAAGGTTTAGGTTTTACCTATTCGATACAATCGTGTCCCATCACTCGTGATACCTTCCTACCTCCATGCCTTTTATTATCTGAAGTCCTTGGGGGTAATCCGAGAATATTGTAAACTCACTTCCGCAATCGCAGCCGGGTCGAGCAGACGTAGCTCCCAATATATAAAAGCTGAGAAGTCAAGTATCACGGCGATCGACGCGTTTGTCTCGCGAACAAGTGATATAGAGTGTGGTGCACCACTAGGAAATAAGACGCGCGTCCAGAACATCGAGCACGCTGGGACGTAGTGAACCAGGTACGCCCCCATCCTTTTCCTTGTGATTCACCAAAGGTTTAAAATCAAATGGAATAATTTGACAGTTTTATTTAACCTGACGTGCTGTCGACTGTACAACTTGCAAAAAAGTTGTCCTTACTTACTATATTAATAATATATGTTATTAAAAAAATAAGATAAGATACTAAATATCATCGAATAATAAATTTTATCTTTGAAGAAATACACCAATCGACAATAACTCACAAAATTCCGATAAAAAAAAGCAACTAAAAGCAAGAAAATAACTAATACCGAAATCGCACGTAACAGTTACACTGTCGCTACTGAGCTCGAAAGACGACAGCAGGGAGCGCGGGGAGGAGTTTCAAGAAAAGTGTCATGTTAATTCGTATGAGTAGTAGCTAATATGACGAGAACGTAAAAAACATGATTAATTTAAAAACTCAAATTATAATTTAAAAAAATGATTTGTTGTGCTGACGTGACATTTTAGATCTACGTTTTATTCATAAACTAAAATTATTTGATTAAAGTTTTTTTGTTTACTACTATTAAAATAAAAGAAATATCAATTGAAATATGAAAAAAATAATCTATGTAAATATTATGTTCTATTACCGACAGTAATCGATAGGAAAAAAAGCACACTGACAAGAAAAAGATCCTTAGTTCTGATGTCCACGCAGGTATGGTAACTCACCTCTTGCAGTGGTCGAGCCTACGTTCATGTAAGTCTGCGGGTACAGTTCTGGCCCGGAACACGTCCAGCTGGGCCAGTTTCCCTTCGGTGGCTTCCAACGCACTCCTGGTGGCGAAGTACTCGCGATGTACGGTCTCGTAATCCCGCATCATTGCTGACACTAATATTATAGGAGAATTTTTACATACTCAAAATAAAACTATTTAGTATATATTAAATAGATATAAGACAACATCCAGACAATACATATATATACATTGCTGAATCCAAGATTAGGAGCAAAAACCGTCGTTTAGCCGATAGGGATTATGGACACCAAGCAGAAAACAATCTTAGTAGATACATTTTAAGTTTCATAATTTATTAGTATTCACATAGCTGTTAATGGCTGTTATCAATTCGATCTATACTAATTTCTATATAAAAATGTAGTTTTAAAATAATGACATTTATTTCACGGATTAAAATACTAATCTATTGATAATGATACAAACTTTATTTTGCCACAGATTTCCGAAAACTGAAGCCTGCAAACAACAATGGTGTATAGCGTTCAAGAAGACCAAATTTGACATTGGCCAAACGCAGTCATGATTCTGTTCTAAAATATATTTAGTATTAATTCAGATGCAAATGACCCTATCGCTAGAAGGATACGTTTTTCGCAGCACTTTTATAAAACCACGAGTTTAATGTTTTATATTTTTTATGTGATTGAGAATACATTAGATTTAACTAAATTTAATTGTTTTAAATATCATTTACTTGTTAAATGTTTTCGTAGCTAACTTTGTAACCAATTTTATATTTTAATACACAGGGAGAATATTTTATTCAACTTTCAATTTTTTTCTTGTAATTGTATTTTGAAAATATTAATAATAATTACATATTTGTTTTATTAAAATTAAACATAACTTATAAGACAAAAATATTCACATTTTAAAAATCACTTCCTACTTTAGATGCTTTGTCATTATTCTAAGGTAGTACCACCTCCCACCTCAAGGAGAATAGACTACCTATAATATGCCTAAAGTGATAGTGATATAAGTTATTACATTGAGGACGTTTATATTTTTAATGAATTTCGAAATATTAACTTGAAACCAAGCAGTATGAGGTCAACAAGTAAAATTTTGAAAGCGGTCTACAACCAAAAAAGTTTGAGAATTTCTGTATACCCCATCAATACTTACTTTTATCTTCATACATCTCGTAAACCTCCTTCAGTTTGTTCTCCGCTTTCTGAGCCCGTTCAATTAAAGTAGCCTTCTCAATATCCACCGTCTCTTTCTCCACGTATAACTTTTTCTGACTCTGTCTCACTTGCATCAACTCCCTCTCCAAGATAACTACCTTCTCCGACAATGCTTTGTTTTCCTCCACTATTTGTTTAGATTTCTTGTTCATCATTTCGAATTGTTTTTCATAATCTATTATAAGGCTGTCTTTCTCTTGCAAGTTCTCTTGGTAAGCGTCGAAGAGTGGGGCTAAGAAAAGAGATTCCTATATTAACGTTCCAAAAGAGTCTTGGACTGTAGTAACTAAGTGATGTTATGGGTTATCTAAAGGTACTTAATGGGGTTGTCACACATGATAAAAGTAAATTAATTCAAAATAAGTTAAAATTAAAAATATTATATGGGATTTTATAATATTTTTAACTTTACTTTTCAATATCAGTACCATGTGATCTAAAACTCCTCTCAGGACGCGTGACGTCATATTTTGACATACTTTCATGATTACCACTACAATCCAGCCAAATTTTAAAAAACAATACCAACCAACTATACAAAGAACTGGATATAGAAATATATATGAATCAATTTGTTGCAATTCAAATTTTGCAATATGCAGTGACTTTTAGGATAATATTAGGCATCACAAGACTTTTTGAAATCTGTAGTTTACAATAATAAATATATCTTTTAATATTCGCTGTATGTCTATAATCATAAACTTAAGTAAATCCGTTCGCCAGAATACGCCCAGTAAATTCGTTAATTTGATCTAGCAACATCATAACTGACATTATGTACAATGACAGATCCGAAGCGTTTTAGCGTCGTAAAATGAAAAGTAATAAATCTCTTAGTAATTATTTCATAAAAATCTATTTATTTCTGCGGCAAATATAATTTATGAGTTTTTAATCACCTAATAAGTAGACTGAGACACTGAAAAATAGTGCAAGAACCCTATACATCGAAGTATTAAAGTTTAGAATTTATTACAATAATTTCTCGAAGCCTCTACTCTGAGCACGAAAAAACAATCGTTATTATCATATATTTATAACCTTCACCTTAAAAGTCGAGTTCATAAACGATTATGCTAAATTAACATTCTACGATAATTGAATACATTTACTTACCTAGTGCTTGAGCACTGAGCAAACCAGACAGATCTACCAATCTTCCAGCCTGAGTATGGTCATCAGCATTGCTTTTTGTATATGTCTCATCATTGCCACCTTCTAAAGATATAATCAAAATAAGAATAATGGACTACCAACAGTAGTATTCGCAACATAGACTTGATAGATTCCAGTACTGAAATATTGAATTGAGTCCACATGTAACCAATTAAGTAGCGAACATTTATATGTAATTTATTATAGATGGCGCTATCAGTATCAAATACATGAAAGAAATCTTTATAATGTTAAATTAAAATACACGCACAATTCAGGTGCAATCAACAGAGTTAAACTACATAAATCTGTAATTTTGATTTGTTGTTTCTGTCTCACCGGGAGCTTTATACCCCAAACTTGTGGTAATCAACGAGTCCAGCGCATCATACTTGTCACTCGGTTTGTGTACGAAATCACCTTTATCGTCTGAAACTTTACGTGATCCACTGCGCAGTTTCTCCTGATAACGAGACAGCTGGACGTTCAATCTGGACAGACAATTTTGAACTTAAATCCAAAAACAGAAGATTTAGAATTTCAGTAAAAAAAAATCCTTAGATAAAAAGATAAAGAAAAGGTGTCAAATGCAGACTGTTCCCAAAGTAATGAATTACTTAACTAGAATTAGTTAACAGCACCTGTTGATATATGGAAAAAAAATTTGCTAAGTGTGAACATTCAGGAAAGGTAAACGCAAACCAAACTGCATTTAACGTGCCGAAGGAGGGGCAAGAAAGGAATTCTAGAATACTTTGTGGGGAAATATGAATCGGCACACATGTAAGCGCCGAATTGTCAGAATTATATACATATTTAGGAGTCATACTTGCATAACAAAGATCTATGTACTTTATTCAGTATATTACTATATACTGAATAAAGTTCAAAATCTAAAATTTTTTTTGTGTCGCTGTGTGTATGTACCTGTAAAGGACATCTTTCAGAGCCTGCATGTCTTTCTGCAACCTGGAGTTCTGCTCTCTCGCCTGGTTTAATATGATCTGGCGACTGCTACACTTCATACATACTTCAACTAAAGGTACCGCTGTGATAGGCGGCGAGTGATCTATCAAACGAAAACAGACTTTATCACGATTACATAACATGGAGACCTCAAAGAACAAATATAACTTATAAAAAAGTTAAATATCTTTAAAAACTGCTATACAATAAAATATACTACTACATCATAGCACATAATTTTAATTTCTCATATTTCCTAGAGAAAAATGCTTTAATAAATCGCTTTGTCCCTGGCAGTCTGTTTCTTTTCACAATCCGGGCGCAATTAAGAAGAACAATAATAAGTTGTTTTACTGTAAAAGTTTATTAAAAACCTATTAACCCATTCTATTGATGAGATCCCCAGTAATAATTTAAGTTGGCCATTCGCCAAACATTAAATTATCACCCAAAGATTAAAAGAACTTAAATGAAGAAAATAGAAAGTTCACCTCTATCAGGTACTTCATACTGTTTCACTTTATCCCCCAACTCTTTGCATTTGGACTCCAACACCTCACATCTGTCTCTCTCATCCTTTATCACTTGTTTACACTCTTCTACATACTTCACTAGCGTAGTGTACTGGGTCTTGAGTTGATCATTCTCTTCAGCAAATAGTTTGTTATACTCTAAAACTGTTTTAAGTTTCTCCTTCAACTTTGCTATAGTCGAATCCCTTTCAGATATCTGTAAGAATATATAAAGTAAGTTTATTACTTATTCTATTGCCGTATTTTTTTTTGTGCCCATTTTAAGGGTCCGTTTCTATTTTAATTTAGTGCGTCCACACAGAGCGTGGTAGTGATCGACCACGCTCTGTGTGGCCGCCTGCAAACGTCAAAATCATCCGAGAGCGACTTCGCCGAAATCCATGGCGCACTCAGAAGAAACTCGCTCTGCAGACTAATATTTAGCGTATTCCAGTGAACAGAATACTGAAATATAATAATAATGATGGCCGATTTCGGCGTGAACGTTAAAATATCGCTTTTCGTGATCGCTTAACTCGTATAATTAGGCTATGTATCGATTATAATATAAACATTTGGCCTATGTATACAAGTTTTTTTTTTTTCAAGCTTAAAGTCTAACCGCTCATCATTGGTTCGAGTGAGCCAATCAATACACTACTACCGCCAACAGGCGGGTAAGGCAGTGAACGGGTTAAAGAGGATGGGCCATGACCCTCCATGCTGGTTTAATGCGGATTGGAGAGTACTAACGATTGCAAATGAAGCGGGGACCAAAGGCGTAACGTGCCTCGGAAGGTACGCATGAAGTAGCTCGAGATAATAATTTTTGGTCACCTGTTCCATGACCGATCCTTGCAAAAGTTACTCAAAAACAACAATCGCGGGCCGAGTCGCTCATCCACTACACCATCGAGCTACTTCGATCTTCATAATACTTTAAATCAATAGGGCACATTACTGGACCTTTCTACTCTGTCTGCTAGATTACAACACTAGCGCATATAGTACACAATTTTTATAACCATCAAACTTAGAAAAAAAATGTAGAATCATGATATAAATTACCATGACAATATTATCTTCGCATCTATCCATAAGTGTTGTGATGAGACTCTCATATTTCTTAGTTAATTTTCTCTTCTGTTCTTTCAGAAGTGACTTTCCCTCTTTGCTGAGCTTTGGAGAAGCAACAGCAACACCTTGAAGATTACGTTTCCTTGGAGGTTTAGCCGGCTTCTGTCCTAAAACAAATATGTATCTACAATTCTACTTATTTATATGCTAATAGGAATGTTTTAAATAAGTATGTATTTATATATCAGACAACATCATCATCATTATACATTACTCAGATCTGTAAAAACTGAAATCTTATTATAAAACAAGGACTATCTAACCAACTTAATATCAGGTTTAAACCATTATGCGACCAAAATAAATCAATGAATCTCAATTTGAAGTTTTATCTGCGGTCATTGGCAACAACACAGTAACTTTAGTCCTTGTTTTATTATCAGACTGTTAAGAGTTTTGTGCCATAAGGTAACAAAAGAACCATAACACCCAAACTCAATGAATAGAAACATTCTAACATTGACCACACCAGGTTTTGATTCAATGGCCTCAGAGATGGCAAACAACTTTTAACCAAAGGAACATCAGTCAGCCACAAAGATTAATAAGTCATTTAACTCTGGTCAATTAATGGCCACTTACACAATGTTTCGCCTCCAGTAACAAAATATTAATTATATTTTCAGATTAATACAATATTTTATTTCGTTAGATTGGTTGATCTACTAAATCTATTTATCAACCAATAACCTTACCAATAACATCTCTAGGGTCTTCATACATAGGATTATCATCAACAAACTCATCACCATCATCTCTTTCTTGACTCTTCAAAGACATCATTTTAGATTCTGTCCTCTTCAAAACAGTGTCCATAATATCCTTTTTCATACTGGCTCGTCTTTCGGGTAAGTTTATATTGAATATCTTTTGTTTTTGTGTAAAATTACCAGAAAAAGTTAATTTCTCTGGACTTAATTTCATTGAATCTCTTTTTGAAGCTTTTTCTTGATTAATCCTCTGAAATTTAAGAATAATAAAAAATCATAAAATGCATCATCATTAAATAATAATAAAAATAGCCCTAGAATCAAATTTTCATCAATAATATAAACTTCATAACTTTGGGCAATAATAAATATATATTCTAATACATATCTACTTTTTAAGATATAAATTGTTAGAAAACTATATTAATACCTGCTATATGCAAGAAACGTTCATACCAACTTTGAATAAAAAGAATAGTCTTCCTCATCGTCCATGGTCAGTTTTCTGAATAGTGAAAAAAAAAAAAAATTTTACTTCGTAATCTTTTTAAATCTATTAATATCCAATTATTACACGTTCGTGACTTGTATCTTGAACCGCAAATATACAGGTCACGAATGAATCCCTAACTAGGTCAAGACAGTAATTTGTTGTACAATAAAACACATAAATTAGCACAAAGTTCTTTCTGATAGCGGAATATTGACAAAACTTTGTTCTGTAAATGTTACGCAACGATGTAACATTCTTGGGTATTTCAAATTATCACAAGCGATAAATTACGTTACTGTGTAACAACAAAAATATTGTATTGATTCGCTTTTCACCATTTAGATTAATTACTGCTGCAGATTTCTATTAAATTTCCTCGCACACGCCATGGACGTAAACAAAGTTGACAAAACTTTGACAGTTTCGTTGCTATAGCAACAAGGGATGTCATATCACAAAAATCATTGCGCTACTATTTATACTTTCAAAAACTACTACTACCGACGCAATTTGTTTACTTTTTAAAATGTTTTATCGAATGATCAGAAATCCAATATAATTTATATGGCTTAACAGAGATGCAAGTTATTCACTTATTTATAATGTAAATTAGGTATAACTAACTATGTTAAAGTGAAGCGGTTAAATCGCAGTTTATTCACGAATAACTTAAATGCTACATACAAATAACATGACTATACGTAACATAACTACATAACCTAGAGGATCAAAGCTGAAATTATTTTATCTTTTTATGATTCGTGCTCAGACCAAATAAAAAGTAAAGACGGAGTGCGCTGAACAACAAAGTGAAGCCGATTTTTAGCAATTGTAGTGTGCGTGCCAGTGTGACCATAGTCATTAAAAACACCCCAATAACTTAACGTTACGACGTTATAGAGTTAACGTTAATGCTATGCTATTTAATAATATAATGTAAATTCGTTTGTCAATATCAGGATATTGAAATAGAAAAGGTGTACCAAGAATAAAACAACCTAATATTAGCTTTGTGTATTTATAAATTTAAAACCATTTACAAGTAAAAAAATGTCAAGTCAAGTGTATATTAAGATATCCACAAAAGTTTATATTATTTGTCTAGTGTTATTCTACTTATTAAAAACCTTTATGCTGAATGAATTTCTTGTAAGATTGTCTTTTACTGTCTATTGTTTTTGTAATAGTTTCCAACTTAGCAATATAATGAAACCTTATGCTTAAATATTTTTCAATTAACAGCGTATTAAATGAATTTTATGTTCGTGACCAAAATATTCGTGCTTTTTCTCTAAATTAACAAAAACTGTATTTTGTCCTATAAAGCGTTTTAATATATTTATGACAATAGTTTTGTGTTGATTTTCTGCGGTAATAACAATTTTTTTAACTAATAATTTCCGAATAATCGATTCACAAAGGACACAAATATCAAAAAGATCTTTTGACGGGAAACGAAGGCCACCTTTGTTTTTCAAATCAATAAGCCTGTGAAAATAGAGTTTCTCATCAGTGTGTAAACTTTCTAAACATTCGGAACATTTTATTATTTTATTTAAATATCGTATCGTACTACCTGATATGTAACCGATTATTATTTTCCTATAATCGTCATAAGTATTATCATTTTAATGATTGGCTAAATCTACGGATTCATTGACAATGTCTCGAAGAAGTTGCAATGAAGACGTCTCATTGCATTCTTCTTCTTCATGTCTGTAAGACAACGAATGCTGTTTATAATTTGAGTCGTTGAAGTACAATTAAGAATTGCTATATTTTCTAAAGGCACGCAATTACCTTTCGAAAGACTCCTTAATTCTAAATGTGACAGTATCTTTTTGTAACTTCCTTTAAACTGTTTTAAGAGCCATATGACAAATTTTCACTCTGTGATTTGAGTTCTCGAGAACTTGTTCAAGGTCACGAGTCCACAATACTGTGTTGAAACCACGTTCAAGCTATTTTGATACTTTTCCCAATTTTTGTATTTATTTTAGTATTTCTATGGTGAGATTCATTATCGATTCCCGAATATTTTAAACGACTGCTCTCGAAAAGGAGTCTATTGTTTTTAGAATTAATGTATGTATGTGAGTATTTTTATTGCACCATAACTTTTGAAAGTTATAACGGATATGAATGTACAGGGTATCATTAGAAACATCATCCCAAGTTACCACAAAATACATAGAGTATCAGTGAAACTAGCTTAATTATTAATATTAAATAGGTATGGGGACGTGTGACGCCATTTAAAAAAGTATGTTTTTTTTTATAATCATAACTTTATGGGTAACAAATTAAAGGTCCATTAAAAATATATAATCTGTATACAAAATTAACTGCTCACTAAAATGAATAAAATATAAAAATTATTTAAAAATTAAAAACACGACTGCTAAGATCGGACAAAAATTAAAAGAAACATGTTTAGCCGAATCATAGGCTATAAATATAAATAGCGATGACAATATATCAATAAAATTATAAATATTAATTAAAAAATATTCGTGCCATATTTTTCGTCGACGATTTCGAAATATTTTCGTCATCCATAGGAAACATGGACTGTTTCCTGTTTGGAAAAGTAGTAAATTAGAATTATATTAATTAGAATTATTTCTTTTCTCATGGCTAGATGCGATGTTATTCGATATGAATGAACGATATCACACGAATCGCATGCACTTATAAAATGTATGAAAAAACTCAAGTGTTTGCTCATGAGATTGTACTATCTGTCAATATCGGTCACAAATCTCATGGTCTGCGGTATCACTTCAAATGTATAAAGGTGGTAGAACGCTCGATCTGCTTTTGATTTTCTGTTCAATAATATCCAGGAACGATTCATTTGCTCATACTTACCATATCATCAAAATATATTGAATTTTACAAAAAAATACGGCAATATCCGTATATAAACAAATGAAAAGCTCGATGGTGCCGGATAGCTCGTTTGATCTGCGATTGAGGAGGTTAAGCGACGATTGCAAAGGCCGGCAATTGGATGGGTGGTCAATTTTTTTGGTGGTCAAAAAAGAGATAAGGCAAAAAGAGCATATAAGAAACGTCCAACTAACCGCAATCTTATTCGTTTTAAGGTTCTTCGAAATTGCTGCAGTCGTATGTGTAGGGATGCTAAGCGACGCTTCTTCCATAGCTCTCTTACTGATCGCAATCCTACTGATGCCTGGCGGTTTTTGCGCTCTGTAGGAGTGGGGAAATCTACTGCTACTGTGTCTACCAATGTAGATTTAAGCGTTCTTAACAGACACTTCTCCCTTCCTCCTTCTACTATCGATGGTGACATAAAGGATTCTACGCTCGCAGAACTTTCACTAGTTCCGAGGCCAGACTGCACATCTTTTGTCTTTTCAAAAATATCCGAAACTGACATTAAAAATACCATTCAAGCCATTTCTTCCGAGGCTGCTGGCGAGGACAACCTAAGCGTAAGAATGTTTACCCCTATTTTATCTTTTCTCCTTCCTATACTTGTTCACATACTTAACTTCTCACTTGAATCCGGTTCTTTTCCCAAAATTTGGAAGATGGCGCACATTATTCCACTGCCTAAAGTATCTAATCCTTCAGTCCCATCTCATTTTCGTCCTATTTCTATTCTTCCCCTTCTCTCTAAACTTCTTGAGCATATTGTTCATAAGCAATTATCAACTTTTCTTTTTTCTTATTCCCTTTTGAATAGGTACCAATCTGGTTTCCGCCCTGGTCACAGTACTGTAACAGCTTTAATAAACATTACTGATGATATACGTTGGGCTATGGAGAATAAAGCTCTTACAGTTCTAATTCTTCTAGACTTCAGCAGTGCTTTTAATTCTGTCGATTTTGACATTCTTCTCGCTATTCTTCGTTCTTGCAATATCTCTCCTTCTGTTCTCTCATGGTTTGATTCCTACCTTCGGGGACGCACGCAACGTGTGCGTCTTGGTAATAAATCTTCTGATTGGTGCGACCTCGGTGCGGGTGTTCCTCAGGGTGCTGTTCTCTCACCTCTCTTATTTTCTATTTTCATTAACTCGGTTACTAAAGTTATATCTTCCAACTCTATGCAGACGACTTGCAGCTTTATCGACACTTTAAAATAGAAGACTGTAACTCGGCACTGGTAGCTATTAATAACGATTTGGATCGCATTAGTACTTGGGCAAAATCGTTTGGCCTCATGCTTAACCCGAGTAAATCTCAGGCCATTGTGATAGGTAGCAGGTTTAATATAAATTCTATTTCTGCATTATCTTTACCACCCCTGCTTTTGGATGGGACTCAGATCGAGTTAACAGACACTAAAAAATCTTGGAATTACAATGGATTCAAATCTATCATGGACTGCCCATGTATCTGAGGTTAGTCGTAGGACCTTCTTCTCATTTCACACACTTAAAAGCCTTCAAAACTTTTTACCTTTTAAAACTAAAGTGTTACTAGCACAATCCTTAATTATACCTCTTCTTGACTATGCAGATGCATGTTACTTGGATGCCACGGAGGAGTTATTAAACAAACTTGAACGACTTCAAAATCTAGCGATTAGATTTATTTATGGTCTTCGTAAGTATGATCATGTGTCACATTTACGTAAGCAGCTCATGTGGCTTCCCATTCGTCAGCGTAGATATGTCAGGATTGTCTGTCTTCTGTTCAACATCCTGTATAATCCCGTCTATCCTTCCTATCTGCGTGAGCGTTTCTCCTTTCTCCGTTCTCCTGATGCTCTTTGCAGATCCCACCTTAAGTCTTCAAACTCCTTCACACAAAACAGATTTTGCTTCATATTCCTTCACTGTTCATGCTGCTAGACTCTGGAACTCTTTGCCTGCCGATATACGTGACAGTCGCACTATTTCTGTGTTCAAAAAAAGAGTAAAGGATCATTATCTTTCCTGTTGTTGATATTGGATAGTGTAGGTATTATTAATCTTTATATATTATAGATATATATATTATTATTTATATAATGTTTGAACCGTTATGT